AATTGGCCATTGCTTTTACATGTTCGATGGTATTGTTCATAATTCGAGAGATGAGTTCAATATTAGATCTTTAATATTTGACACAATTTATTTGCTTGAATCGAGAGATTAATAGATAGTTGTGAGGATTTTGGGTCTTTTAATCTATTTGGAGTTGAATTGCATGTGTTGAGTGGAGACACTAATATATGTGATTTAATCTACGGTTTTATCGAACTCGAGAGGGACGATAGGCTAATTTTGTGATCATCTTATAGGGTAGATAAAGAAAATAGTTAATTGTGATATATCTGAAGGAACCCAACTGTTAATTGAACCCATAGTCTTAGAATCTACCATTCCCTTATATTCTTCTTAAGTGTTTTTCTAGTTGTTTTCTTGTTATAGATTTATTATATTTTGAATTATTTTCTTAGTTTAGTTAATCAATCTTATATTCGGTTGTCTAGATAAAATTGGCACTATCATAATCTAGTACTTGGTTAATTGGTTGTTTGGTCTCTTGGGATACGACCTTGCTTGCCACATACTACGAGCGAAGCCGTACACTTGCGGTCGAGCTTTAAAAATACAGGCGAACAAGTTTTTGGCGCCGTTGCCGGGGGACCATATTTTCAGATCTTGGGAGAGTTTTGGAGGCTAGAAACACGAGAAAGACGAGGGAGAAAGCAGGGAAGAAAGGATCGACGGAGCCGAATAAGCTTTTTCTTTCTTTTTCTTTTCTTCTTTCGAACTCAATGTTTTATATTTATTTTGAAAGCATGTTTCTAGGCTAATTTATTTTGGATTCTAGGATTTGTTAGTACTCGAATTTATTTATGATTTAGTTTTTATTTATTTCATTCTGGTTTATCTTTCGTTTATAAATTTCTTGTTCTTATTATTATTGTGTGAGTAGATGGCCACTATGAATGCATATTTGTGATTGATTTGAGACCGAGAGGAGATAATTGATTGCTATTATTGGGAAATTTATAACGTAAGAGACTAAACAGACCGAGAGGTTGATAGAATCTTACGAGAGAACGAAAATCCTAGGAACTTATGGGAGTTAGTTGTTCATCTTGAGACCGAGAGGAGATAGATAACAATTAATATCTACGATTTGCTTGTTCGAGAGAAAGGTTGAAATCAATTTAGCGATTATCTCTACGATTGGTAAAATAAAATAAGGTTTGTTTGAATATAAACGTTTCATGAATTAATTCCGAGGAACGCTGAACCTAGAATCTATCTTTTGCATCTTATTTTATTTTTATTTTTTTAGGTAAATTAGTTCTTAGTTTAATTTCTTAGTTCATAATCATCATCCAATTCATTAGTCTAGATAATATTTAATCGTTATTATTTTAGTACTTAAATAATTTAACTACAATCTCTGTGGAATACGACCTTGCTCGCACTACCTATAGCTACGGCGTACACTTGCGGATAGCAAAAATAATTAGCGAACATGTTGTCCGAGCTTCATATAAGCCGAGCTACCGTTATAAACGTGTTATTCGAGCTCCTCATATGTCGAGCTATATATATTCTTAGATTGCCAAGTTGTCTGAACACCTATTAGTACTTCTAAATCAACCGACCTAACTAATCTTAAATCTATAAACCGAGCTAACCACGATTGGTGTCACCGAGCTATTCTTATGTGGGGTTTATTGCACCAAACCCCCCTGTATTATACTGAATCTGCGCGTTTTCCCCCTGTATTTTAAAAATTGCGTCATACCCCCTTGTATTTAAGGTTTGCATGCACACGCTCTCCTTTTACTATTTTCATGTTAACGACGTTAATATTTTTGTAAAATTCCTGTTATGCCCTCCGAATATTATATATATATATATAATTCTGATAAATTGAATTTATCATGATATATTCAGTATATCGCGAGAAATTGAATATATCGCGAGAATTTGAATAAATTGCGAGAAATTGAATAAATAAAATGTTGCGCCTCTAGGATTTTAACCTAGGACCTCCTTGGGGGAGGAGCATGCATACAACCACTGTATTACTCATGCTTATGTGTTAGATGTGTTAACATTTAATATATATTAACATTGCATATGGATAAATAAAATTAAATTTGAAAGATAATGTAAATTATATTACATTAAGTTATTAAAACATATAAAACTTAAGATAAATTAGAATACAAAAAATTTAAATTATATAAAATAAAAAAAAAAAAATTAATTAAACAACTTATTAAATTAAACAAAAGAAAATAATTAAAATAAATATAAATAAATATAAAAAATTACAGTTAAAATAATAATATTTATTGTATTTGTTTTAAATACTTTCATATACATTTATATTTTATTATTTATTTTAATTTGTATTACTCCATATTATTTTGTTGCATTATTCTTTTTATTTCGTAGTTAACAACTATATTTATTTTATTTAACCTAAGACAATGAAATAAAATTAAAATAAATTTTACTAAATAAAATATAAAAATTAAAATTATTTATTTATAATTAAAATCATGTACTAAAATATTAACTGAATAATTATATTTTAAATTGTAGAATATAAATAAAAAATTCTATTATTCTTAACTAAAAATTGACTCATTATAAATAATTATAACGAATTCTAATTTTAGCATTTTTTATTTAATAGAACATAAAATAAGAATAATAAAATTGAATTATTTATCAGAAATTTAAAAATATGAATTTTACTGAAAAATTAAATTTATATATTTCTCTATTTTTTTAAGAAGATAAATAATATAAAAACTAAATAAAAGTCATAAATACAAATAATATATAGCTATTGAATTAATTTTTTTTTCTTTATAAAATTACTACTTTAATAATATATAATAAAAAAAGTATCATTTATTTTTTTAAAGACTTTTATTATATATATATATTATATTACTTCAATTCATGAAAACATATTTTACTTTTTATATTAAATTTATTTTACATTTATAAATTTTTATTTTTTAATGAAAGTATCATTTTGTTTCAATACTAAATAATAAAATTATTTTATTATTTTTAAATTACACATTTAAATTTATTCAGTTTAATATTTATTTTATTTTATTTTAATTATATTTTCATATAGTTAATCTATTTTGTAATTATTTTATTTTATTTTTTGGTTGATAAAGTTTTGTTCTCTTTGTGTTCTTTTAGATAAGTGTGTGTCAAATATATACCATACAATGATGGTAGCAAGGTGGTTTGGTGCCTTGTGTGTAGAGTTTTTGGCCTGAGATCGCACCCTGGGATAAGCAAAATATTTTTCAGTATTTTTTAGGGGTAAAATAGTAATTCCAGTCACTTTAGGGTGAAAAAATGAAGAAAAAGTCGCACAGCACGCGCGTGCACTCCACTGCCGTCATCTTAGACGGTTTAGGGGGTTTCGCTCATGCAAACCTTAAATACAAGGGGATATGACGCAATTTTTAAAATACAGGAGAAAACACGCAGATTTAGTATAATACATGGGGATTTGGTGCAATAAACCCTTCTTATGTGTTATATCATAATTCATTTCAAATTCCAGCTGCCTTAGTTCCCTCTTATGCCAATAGTACATGATTTTTGCATGATTGATTAATTAATATAAAATTATATTTCATTTATAAAACCCCCAACTTAAAATTATTTTTCCTTACATAAGCGCGCTAGTACGATGAAACAGATTTAATTTTTCGCAAATACTTAAGTGTGCCAGAGCCTTTTGTGAAATGCAATCCTCCCAAAGGCGCAAGTAAGAGGTAAGGAAGTAAGTAAAACTTTTTTTTTTTTTTTTTTTTTTTTTTGTTTTATAAATGGGACATGTGTCCCATATATCATATTATGTAAATTAAATTATCATTCATGTTTTGTATCAAAAAATAAAAATAAAAATACTAAAATTCATAATTTTTCATTCTCTACAAATAGAGACCACATTTGATATTTTTTGGAACACAATTAATTTATTATTTTTTACAATTAATTTATCTTATTGGAAGATTATGACACAAATCTATAATTAGATGAATATGTTACATAGTAAGATGAACATGTTATAGAGGAAGATGAACATGTCATAGAATAAGATGAAAATGTTACATTTTTCACAAATGAAATTTAGATGAACGTGTTCTAAAATAAGATGAACATGTTACATAATAAAATGAACATGCTATAGAATAAGATGAACATGTTACATAATAAAATGAACATGTTATAGAATAATATGAACATGATACATAATAAAATGAACATGTTATAGAATAAGATGAGCATGTTTAGATTCCATATCTACATCACATGCTCTCACATTATTTTCTCCCATTTCCACTTCATACACAAAATTCTGGTCAATTTCTTGCTCGACTTTCACTCGTTTAATGCAAGCATCCCCGCCCTGAAATAATAAACCATAATCTACAGTTAATAACTCAAATTTATGCAATAGTCATACTATAGTGAATGAAAGTGAAAAACTAGTAGAATGTAAAAGAAATTCCATAAATTAGTCTTTCGATCGAATATCCTCCACCTTTACAAACCAAAATCCTCTCTAATAAAATAAGATGAACATGTTACATAATAAAATGAACATGTTATAGAATAAGATGAACATGTTACATAATAAAATGAATATGTTATAGAATAAGATGAACATGTTACATACACAATAAAGTGAACATATTATAAAACGAAAAATTAGTTGTGTTCAAAAACCTATCAAATGTGATCTCTATTTATAGATAATGAAAAATTATGAATTTTGGTATTTTATTTTATTATTTTAATATAAATAATTAATGATATTTTAATTTATGTAATATGTCTCATTTTTCAATTAAAAAAGAAAATTGAGGATGTGCACTACACTCTCTCAATTTTTCTAGTTTTGGGGAGTGAGGGGCGCGCACAAATGTGTCCCTAACTAGGTGTGACAGGGCACAGCTATGTTAATTTTTAATTATTTCACAGCTATGTCCCTAACTAGGTGTGACAGGGCACACCACTCTTCCATGGCCTTATCCACACTTTCTCCTCCATCTCTGGCCACTGTTCCCGCCGCCTCGGCACCCAAGCTCGGACACCCCTCCGTCGCCGCCGTACCACTCCGAACTGACCTCCGGAACGAACGCATCTCGACTGCCGCCGCCGGCGACTTCGCTCCTCTGCCGGCAGGTCCTCATAAATGGAGGACACGCGTCTCCTTCTTTTCTGGTTTACTGACCAACAACAGGGCGAAAAATCGGGAGACCACAAAAGAAGAGCTTCTCGAAGCCATTGCTCCCCTCGATCGTGGTGCCGAAGCCACCCCTGAAGATCAACAAATCATTGACAAGGTTAAATACAAAGACTTGATTTTTAAACCTTATTAATTTTTTTTATTTTTTTTTTTCTAAATTTTATTTTATTGTGCAAGTAGTTGTTCTGCTTTGAACTCTGAATCTAAACTTTCCCCGATTAATATATATTCTTTTGGCTGTCGGAAAAAAAGTAGCTAATGAACTCTGAATCTATTGGAAAGGCCTTAGCTTTAAGAATGGCGCACCTTAGCTTGTTATTTTGTTTTGAACAATTCCAAGTTGTCCCACATTTATTCTATCGGAAGAATGAGTCTAGTTTATATGTCTAGTGTATTACTCGTCTTATCACCAATTGGTTTTGTGATGGAACCTCACTATGGTTAGGGCGGATCCAAAAAAAAAAAAATATTTGGAGGGGAGTAGACTGTTATTCAATCATCAACGATTTCAAGAATGTAGCTTAGTTTGATTTTTTAAAGTTTGAGGTCGGACTTACTTAAACGAGACGAGTTTGAACAATTGATTTAGTTTATAGTTGTGTTCGCAAACAATTTGATTATGATTTATGAATTTAAGTTTTGGAATTATTAAAACAGATCAAGTGGATGAGTCAAGGTTTACTCACATTTATTTTATTAAATAAACGAGACAAACACAATTTTGAATATAGGGTACTTGAATTATCTCAATTTGAATGACAATTCGAGGGGAGTATATAATATTTAATAGCCTAAAAGTATAGGTATAAGAAGTAAAGTTTACTGAGAAAATATAAAGTAAATAATAAAGTTGCAATATAAAATTGCACAATCATTTAAGTTTGGTAGTATAAAAATTTGTTCTACATTCTTTCACCTCATAAAATTTACTAAACAACAATTCGGTATTAAAATTTATTGCAATTTCTCATTCAAGCTCATGAAATTCAAATCAGGCATGCTCTCCTATTTCAAATAGCTAATTCTCAAGTATTTACATTATCACTATCAATTTAATAACCTTAAATTACTATGAAAATATTATTATGAAAATAGTTTCTAAAACAAATATGATGTAGCTTTAAAATAATAAATAGATTCATTAATGCAATAATTAAATAATAAGTAATGTATTTATGGGGTATAATTGTAGATTAACTATATATGTATACATAGTAAAAGTTAAAATGGTTGGGGGGACAATGGCTTCCCCTGGTGGATATGTAAATTCGCCCCTGACTATGGTGCACCTAGCCCCACCCTTTTATGGCGGTTCATCTGCGTGAGACCACACTCTCTAGCCCGATTCTTTAAATCTTAGACAAGGAAAGTTTATTTTGGAAAATGTTTTTAGTTGTGCTGCTATATCATAAAGCTCTGTGTTTAAGTAAATCATTTCTCTTGTTTTGGTCTCAACTTTATTCTTGGCTAGATAGCTCGGAAGCTGGAAGCTGTTAATCCAACAAAAGAACCGCTCAAATCCGATTTACTCAACGGGAAGTGGGAACTCATTTACACGACTTCAGAATCCATTTTGCAAACAAAGGTGAATATATATACTTCTTTAACATTCTATCGTTTTCACAAGTCTATTGTAGCACAAACCAATTCATATATAATTGTATCACCAGGCTTTATGGTGGTGTCTCTTTGACTCCATTTATGTTTAGCCATTTTTTTTACTCCTCTTCTCTTCTGCTTTTGAGCTTGTGTTTTACCATTCTGAACAGAGACCCAAGTTCTTAAGATCTCGAGCAAACTTTCAAGCAATTAACGCCGACACTCTTCGAGCTCAGAATATGGAGTCGTGGCCATTTTTCAATCAGGTGAGTTGAGTTTCTAATGTCTATAACTTCATTTTGTCCAGTCCAGCATTGTATGTCTACTCTTTCAATTCCATCCTTGTGGATCATCCATACGAACATGCACTATAATGCACATAAATAAAACATCATAACTAATCATTATAAATTATGTAATAGCTCAAATCAAGAAACCCGAATCTATTTAGGAACCATTAATAGAGCATAGAAAAAGCCTTACTATAGCTCTAGGATAGCAAATACCTATGAACCTCCATGTCTATTTTCTTTTCCTTTCTTCTTCCCATCTTTTACGGGTGCATTAGTAATCCGTATAAAAATGGTGTGCCCATATTCTACCATTGTCATCTGTCTTATGTGATGATATGTACATGCAAGTTCTCAGGTTACTGCAGATTTAACGCCACTGAGTGCAAATAAAGTGGCTGTGAAGTTCGATTACTTCAAGATTGGTGGTTTGGTAAGTCTGCATCCGGGTGTTATGTATGTCTGTTAAAGGATAGGAGTCTGATTGATTGCTCGTTAATTAACATTATTCTTCATGAAAGTTCAATATCCATGTGTCTGTTATCATGCAGGATCTGTGCTGTAGTACCTAATAAATGTCTGCAAAATGCTTAATTACGAAAATGTTTTGCACAGATACCTGTTAAAGCTCCTGAAAGAGCTCGAGGCGCACTGGAAATCACTTACTTGGATGAAGAACTGAGGTAAGACATAGGAAAGCAACCATGTTTTCGTGTGGCAAGGAAGCACAATTTGTGCATGGAAATTATAATATGTTTGGAATTGTACAAATTTTATCGAAATTGGTTGCGTTTTGTGCAATTCGACTAAACCGCTTATTGTTTTGAACCCATAACTACTTGAATCATATCACACTCTTTTACTTAGTTATTTGTATCTTTTTTTCACTTTGATGTTGCAGAGTATCAAGAGGGGACAAAGGCAATCTCTTCATCTTGAAAATGGTTGATCCCTCCTATCGGATCCCTATTTGATGATGACTTTTATTTCCCACGGTGGATTTGAATATCTCATTTCTTGCACTCTTGATGGAGTTTGTTGTGTTTTTTGTATATTCATGTAATATGGATAATAAGGTATTGGAGAAAAATGAATATACTATTTAACATGAAAGAGATTATCGTGAGATTAACATTTGACCATGTGTGACCTTGGTAAATTATTAGTGCAAAACGAATAATCCATTAATTAAAAATTTTATTCATTACAAAGTATTCGTAAAATTTGCCACTAGTACAAAGTATTCGTTCCAAAGTAATCGTCAACTTATTCATTATTGAAAAAATAGGTCTGGGGGTAGAGTATGCGACGTGTATAAGAACACAAAATATAAGGGAAGTGACAATTAACAAGTTTGTTTTCAAGGAGCGTTTCGCTATCCTTCATAGCATTTTCATTAGTAAATCGGTTGTCTCGTGCAGTATATAGTTTGGAATTATAAGTAAATGACTCTATCACAACCCTACCACAACTATACTGATCATACTAATTAATTCTCTTGCCACAACGTGGACTAACTACTACGGAAATCCCTCCAAGCTGATAATACCCAAAAGTACAAAGATCATATGTTCCAATATTATGGAGATTGTGAAACACAAAACTGAAATCTTGAATTCACAAGCTATATAATACAATCAATAAGCTCATGAAATCTCAGAGAATATATTAACTCATATGCTTAAGAAAGAACAATAAAACTTAGTTCTTCTCGCTAAATTTAGTTAGGGGAGTTTAGTTATATGGTGAAGGGGAGTTTAGTTAGGGCTAGTCTCGGGCTTTATGGTGTGAGGGCTGTTTACCTTGGAGAGTCGATTGGGATTGGGGTGTCGGATCTTGTTAGGCCTTTTGCAGTTTCAAGTTCAGTGCTTTGTCCCAGTTTTTTGTCCGTGTGGGTTATCTCTCTCTACGGTTGGCGACACGGCGTTGTAAAGTTGCAAGCCTGACAGGAGGAAGGCTATCTTTTAGTTTTTTTTTTTTTTT